CTGTGGCATCTTAAAGCCTAATAGGAATATACATCCAGGGTCACAAGCTTTCGTGGGCAAAACCCACTCTTGAGAAGGGTTTGCTCCTGCAGGGCAGGAAGCGAACTGGCGGCATAGTTGGACAAAGGGACTGGCAGTTCAGGAGACAAAGAAGGTTCTCTGCCCAGCGAGAGACACTATTGCCCTGCCTGTAAGTAGTCAGTTGCTGTCTGCTTGAGGACAGCGGCCGCACCACTGTGCCATACACAGCATGGAGACCTTCAGAGAAGCCTTCATGTCATGCTTGTCAGCCGCGTCCCACTACTCTACAGCCTTCTGCTCCCACCAGTTGTTGTTCAGGATCCTTCATTGCAGTTGCAGCGCACGTTTGGCCTGAGGGTACCTGACCTTTTTCATTGCTGAGTCCTTGTCCAAGATGCAGTGATGGGCAATGTTCACATGTGTAGCGTACATGGTCTCCAGTGGCGGGTTTCTCTCAGGGTCGGTCCCATCCAACCAGTCTTGGTGTTTCTGCCTTACTAAAGGTACGTCTGGACTCCAGGCTTTTGTCGACAGAAGTTTTGTCAACAGATACTGTCGACAAAGCTTCTGTCGACAAAGAGCGTCTAGACTACATTCAGGTCTGTCGACAAAGCAAGCTGCTTTGTCGACATGGTAGTGTAGACGCAAAAGACAGTTTACAGGCAATAACACCTGTCGACAGAACTCTGTCGACAGAAGGTGTTTTGCCTTGTAAAATGAGGTTTACCAGCATCGACAAAACTGCTGAGTTCTGTCGATGTTATGTTGACAGAACTCAGCGGTAGTGTAGACACAAGTATAGTTTTGTCGACAAAAGTCCACTTTTGTCAACAAAACTCTGTAGTCTAGACACACCCCAAGTTAAGACCCTTGGAGGCCATATTATAAGGGACAGCACTGAACTTCTGACAGGATGTGCCAACGTCTGTGAAGGTTTTTAAGTCTCGGCTTGACACAGCCCTGGCTGGGTTGATTGAGTTGGGATTGGTCCTGCCTAGAGCAGGGGGCTGGACTTGATGACTCCTGAGGTCTCTTCCAGCCCTGAGGTTCTATGACTCTAAGGTCTCTGGGACCTCAGTTTCCTCAGTCTCCAGTATCGGTTTTGACTTCATTTGCTGGGGTCTTCCATGGCAGCCACATTGATCATCTTGGGGGCAAGTCTGAAGCATCGCCTGGGAGGTGCTTTGGTGAAAAGTGTAGTGACCTGAGCCTTCTCACTACCCCACGGGCTGTCCAGCATTTGGCGTCTCTCGAAGAGTGGGAGATGCACACATCTTTAATGCCTCAGCATGTTTTGACCTGGCAATTGGGATGCATCTGTATTGTCATATATTTATTGGCCTGCTGGAGAACTATGCAGCTAATAGTGAGACTGAATTCTGCACATGTGAAGAGAAATGGTTGGCCTTTGGAGTTCAACCTTTCAGTGCTGCGATGGCCTAACCCCCTGCTGCATGGATCAGCGTCGGCTCCCACACAAGGACTAAAGTCTAAAAAGACAGTGAGTTTGTCCCACAGTAGCAACCCTCTGATGACCTGCTGAGATCTTCATAAAACATCCCCTTGGAACCTCTCTGCTGTCTGTGGTGGTCGTGGGGATGACCCTTGCATGAGCTGTCCTCAAGCGGTTCTTCTCCCCAGCAGACTCGGTGTATTCCGAGTCACGGCGGGGCGCTCATGCTGGCCATGGTACCAAGGACGTGATCTTTGCAGCCCAACAAATACAAGAGAAGGCTTGTGAATGGAACAGAGATCTGTGCATGGGAGCTGTTGACCTGCCCAAGGCCTTTGACACAGTGAATTACGAGGGCCTATTTCAAATGCTTAATGAATCTGGGTGGCCAGAGAATGACGACGGTCATCTGCTCATTTCATGATGGCTTCAGGGCCCTGGTGTGGTGACTCCTCAGAAGCCTTCCCAGTTACCAACAGCACCGAACAAGGAGACATAAAGACTCATCTTCTTTTTGCCATTGGCCATTTGTTGTCTTTCCAGCCAGGCTCTTATTTGCATGCTAGGACTTTGGCAGAGGTGTATACATCTGGTTCTGATTGGATGGAGGAGGGGTGAAGGTCTAATCAGTCTACAGTGACTCAGGGCCTAAACCAATCCGACAGCTATTAAGACAGCTCCTTTGCTGATGACTGACCCCTACACTCAAGGACATTCAATGTATAGTTGTCCGCTTTGTCTATGCCACAAAATGCTTCAGTTCACACTCAGCCTGACAAAGACGGAAGCAGGAGGTTACAGACCAGCTCAGTCTTGGACAGCCATCCTACCAAAGAAACCACACAGGCTCACAGGAGAATACTCACAATTTATTACCCAAACAAATCCCCAGGAGAGAGCAGCTCCGGACTCTCCCAGACAAGTGCACTGCTCTTGTTAAAAAAAGACCCACCCTCCCGTGTTCACTGCACCCCCCCACCCCATGTCAGTTCCTCACCGCGCCCAGGTCCAAGCGACTGAGATCCGACAGTTTGGGCCTTGGGAGCAGGTGCCCATCTGAAATTTCCCAGTCCTCAGACATTCCTCCCAGCCCCAGTCCCTGGTCCCAAGTGTCCAGCACAACCCAGGCCCCCATTCACTCTGTTCCCAGCTGTGCTCAGACTCAACAGGAAGCAGCAGGTACACACTGTACACCTCCGACACACACCCACATATACACATTGCACAGACATGACATCCAGGAGACCGCTTGTTTACATGGTAAGAACAATGCTAAATCCAGTATCCTTGTTCAAGCACTAGGTAGCCATGAGGGCCAGAATCTGCTCTCATTTCTACCGGTGTAAAATTGGAGTGACTCCATTCATTGTAATGGATTTACACCAGATCTCACCTGGTATCGGAATCCAGCAATAACTTGTTTTGTAAATTCAGCAGAGGATCGGTGCTTAGAAAAACATCAGATTGGTCCTAAAACCGTTTGTATTGGTCCCACCAACGCATGTGTGTAAGGGTCCTTCCACTGGGCTTTGAGCAGCTGGTGTTTCAAGTTACGGGCTGATGCTTGAAATCTGAGATTCTAGGCTGGCGCTCTACAGGGCAGGCAGCTTCTGTTTATACCAAGCTACCAAAGCACAGTGGAAATGGGGAGGTGAGATGACAGCAAGATAGGGATGGGGTGGCTTAAAGTCTCTGATATATGAGCTGTCCTGGATAGCCATCAGTGCCTGGTACCCCTGGAAAGTTGAGACTGGCACAAAGGGTCTGTTTGTCCTGTAGGTAGTTTGTGAGAAACGAATTCTGAAGTCCATGCCAAGCTTTCAGGGCAGCGGTGGGTAGATGCCAGCCTGAGGGCCAGCTCTGGTTCGGCAGGGTTAGCAGCTGGGGGACTGCCACCTCTATATTTAGCTGTGCTTCCGCAGGTATGGGTACCTGCAACTCTCATTGGCCATGGATCGCCATTTCCAGCCAATGGGAGCTGCAGAAAGAGGTGTCCTGGTTCCTGCAGCTTCCATTGGCTGGGAATGATAATCCACGGCCAATGGGAGCTGCGATTGCTCGTACCCACCAGGGGCTAACCCTGGCAAACGGCCATCATCTTATTGCCTGCCCCTGCGTTAGGCGCTGCTCTGCGAGTGGCCCTGTCACGCTTTGACATGCCCGGCCCTGTGCATGGAAGGGCTCTGGCCCAGTGGCACGGTGGTTCTTGCCTCTAACCAGGGTCAGCACAGATGGGGGGGGGCGGGATTTTTTAAGGACTTTAAGGGGCTCAGATAGCAGGTGCTGGAGATGGCAAGTGGCAGCACAAAGACCTTCCCAGTTAATTCAAAGCATCTTGTTCTTTGTGACACCCTCGGCCAGTCCCTCCAGAGGCAGCCGGAAGGAACCTCGGCAGCAGTTCTGCGATCCCAGCATCTGGGGCACCTCAGACTTTGCCGTCGCACTGGCGGCAGGGAGAGGCCAGTGAAAACGAAGCGCCAGGGCCCCGGGAAAGGACCCACATGGGTCTGTAGCCCCCTCGCACCCAGACCACTGAGCACGGCTGCAGGCCCCAGGGCCGGACTGGCAGCATTGGCACCGAGAGAGCCCGCTCTAAGGAGGAGCCCGGGGGCACACATGAGCGGGGAAGGCCTGAATGTGAATTAATTCCCTCCCCAGCCGGAATCTTGCAGGCCCCTCCCCGA